TGTTTTGATGACAAAATTTTTTGCAAGATTTTTAACCGATAATATTAATAAAGACGAATAATTAAATAAAAATTAAATAGAGCATCGAAATCTTAAACAAAAATTTTCTAAATTTGTCGAAGAGAATATAAATATGAATTTCTGATTAATTTATTATCAACTCGATGTTTATTATATTTGCACTGCAATGAATTAAGCCAACAAAGAAAGGGGTGAAATTATTCGTGAATGAAAAATTATTAGTGTAATATTTTTCTTTCTTTAAACAGCTTAACAATTATACAAAACACTAATTTCTGTCATTTATGTTACAATTTGTTTACATTTCAATATGAATGTTAGAAACATAGTTATCAAAATATATTATTGGATCATTGTTCAATCATGGATATAGTTATATATATTATATATATCCATGTGTTCAATTGATAAACAATATTAAAAGATATAATTGTAATTATCATGCAATTTGACATTTATATGAAAATTATTTTAATATATAAATTTGGTTTAAAATTTATATATAATTTTTCAAAAAAAATATCTAAATTCGTTTGCCTTGAAAGTAACCTATATCTACAAACAAAATATTTATTAATCAATTGCAAATAATTGCAAAGCATCCGTTGGTATATTTCCTTCTTTGGAGGAGTGGTTTATGTTCTTATGTTCAACTCGTGGAATTATATAATTCAATGGTTCTACTTAAACTTAATAAGGATCTTACTTGCTAAATCTATGTGGCATGGTCGGCCATTTTTAAATTGAAAAATCGCGTATCCTTTTTTTCGAAATTTATCAAAGGTTATAAAATAGATTATAAATCTGTTTTATGATTAGAAATTGAATACACAACATAACTGCTGTATTGTTTGAGTCTACCATTAAAGGTGATATCATTTATTACTGAGAGTTTGTTGAGATACTAATATTAATTGTACGTTGTACAATTAAAATTTCAATGTAAGAACTCTACTAATTTTAGTTTAGACTTAAGAGAGTTTAAACTTTAAGCTATGGTTTTTTTGTAGTAGTGTTCGTGACAACTTCATCACCGTAATGTAAACTTCCACTTTTTTTCTAGTTGTTTGTCAGCTGTTTTATTTAATAAATAAATTAATAAACTAAAAAATGATGATAAAAAATAAATACAAAAAAAACTAAATAGTTTTAATTAATTTTTAAAGACATTTACAATAAAATTTGAAAACATTTGGAATAAAAATTTAATAAAGTTGTTTTTTTGCACTTGTAATTTAATTGTATTCAACAAATTTTCATTTAAATTTTAAATATTAATTATACCATGAAATTTTTATACAAATTTTGAACAGTAATAGTTGAACTTAATGGTGAAATCATGCTGAAATTGTAAGCATTTAACAAATTGACATTTAAATTTAAAGGCATAACTGATAGAATTGAACTTTGAACCATAAGTTCAATTCCAATACTAAAATGGCAGTTGAATTTGAAATTGGTGGAATTGGAATTGAACTGTAGACCCTTGTTTAATTCTAATATTTATGGTAGTTCAACTTGAAATTTATGGAAAGCATTTGCCATTTGCATAATTTTTTAAACACCCACTTTTAATATTCATATCCTATTTCCCTGTCCATAGTTTATTAATGGGACATTAAAATTTATTTACCATATAATAATCTATCATGGGATCAATACAAATGGAATCAATACAGTAGGTAGAACAACCCATTTTGTTACTAGGGCTGTACTGGAGTTGGACGTTTCCAAATCCAGTGGGATTACCTGGATTTACAATCACAAATCCGGTCAGAGCCATGGTTGAAGCGGATTTGTTTATCAGTTGCATTTTATAATTTGTGACTATCGCTTTATTAGCTTGTCTCAAACCAAGCATAAAACTTCGTTATATTGTACTCCTACCAAAAACCTAATAAAATAATTTAAATTTAATACAAATTTAATCAATGCCTTTCAATCAATTTTTGTATATACTATCACAAACACAAACATACACCTGGAAACAAACATATTGCGCTATGTTTCGCACTGCTGTTAAGCGATGGCATGGTTTGAATACTGTCTGCCCGGAACTCAAAGACCATCATTACGCGTATGTTGTGGTGCTTGCGCGTGCATACATGAGTATCTGCGTCGTGTGATGTGGATAGTACAGCTTTTGTGGCACGAAAGTTTAATTATAAATATAGAAAAACATGAAAGCAGCTCTGCGTTGGACAGAGCTGCATTATAAAGAATAAAAAAAAATTAAAACTTGTTTGAATAATCAAAGAATGTGGGATTATGCATGAGTGCACCGCACATGTTTGAGCATTTTGAAAAACAAGTTTTTCAATATTGATGCTTGGTATTAATGCCTGGTAATTTAAAAGTAATTAAGATGGTCACATTGAGTAGATGGCTCAAGTAACACAATCATGGTTCTTTATGCTTCAAATCATTTTGCATATGTGCAACTGGATGTTGGAATCGGTTGGAGTTGAAATTTTTTGAGGACCCGGAGTTGGATTTTTTTCATCCGACTCCAAAGAGTGTTATGAATTTTTAAACGCATTTAAAAAAATTTATTTTATATTTTGAAATTTTTAAGAGATTGTGTTTTTAGAAGATAAATATGCTTAGCGATATGCATTCTATCAATCAATCAATCAATTAGCTTGTAAAGCGCGATTTCCGCGATGTTCAACAGCAAACAGATGGGTCTTGAGATCCGCTCTGAACTTCGTAAGTGATGGAGAAGTAGTAAAAGAAGTAAGTAGAGAGTTCCAGAAAAAAGGGCCAGAAAAAGCAAAAGCGGATTTATCAAAAGAGTGTTTAACACGAGTTAAGAAGTGAGAACAAGAAGACGATCGTAAACCAGGGCGTTTAGGTTCAATTAATATATCTGATAAAAAGTTAGGAAATAATTTAGATTAAGACATATAATAAATGTGCAAATTTTAAAAATTATTCTATATTTTATAGGTAGCCAGCGCAAGAGAACAAGATATGGAGATATATGAGAAAAGAATGGGGCACGAGCAACTAGACGAGCAGCAGAGATAAGAGCTTTACTTAAAGAATAGAGTATAGAATCAGGAAGACCATAGTAGAGCGAGTTACAATAATCAATCCTAGATAAGACTAACGAAGTATTTAGAAGGAGAAGAGTAAGATTAACTTTTTTGCCGCCCAGAAGCACCCGTAATTTGCCGCCACAATTTTATAATAATTTAAGAAAACTAAATTCAAATAAAAGCAATATTGTCAATACATTTTTATTAGATACATTTTTAAATAATATTCACGTAATGCAATATTAGAAAAAATACATTGCATTAAAGGTCTATAAAAAAGTTACTTCAAAACTTTACGACGTATTTTTCCTCGCACCAACTCATCAATAACGAAATTAATGTCCAATCCTTGCAAAATTGTTTTTTCAATGCACAGGACTGCAAGGAAGTTCAGCCTTTTTTCAAACAATGTTGAACGCTAATAATTTATAACGCGCTTTGAACAAGAAAAAGACCGTTCGGCCGAATATTTTGTAGCATTTTTCTAATATACATCTGAAATGCAATGTTTACATTTAGATATATACACGGCAACGCATATCTTATCAATTTAAATCAATCAAATGGAATGTTTGGAACTAAATTTTGGTCCAAGGAGGTCAAATAAGACTTTAAATGCAACAGTTTTGGAATTTAAAGTTTTGTTTAGATCGTTTAGTTTAGATTTAGATCGTTTTTGTTTAGATCGTTTGTACCGTTAAATAATTGGTACTTTATCTAAAGTGTCCAATTTTGTTTGTCCTGCTTGCATCAATCCACAACAACAAATTCGAAATAGCAATGTTTTTGAAGCCATTAAGGTAGAGAGAGTCAATTTTTTGCGCCAAATTAGGCGATCAGTTATATCCATTTTATTTAAATTTAGGGCTTTCATGTCTTGCTCGATTGTTTGCGATCAAGACTTCTTTGGACGGCCTTTGGGACGTGTGCCAGGTACTTCAACATCTGCAAGAGAAGTTATGGCACTGTTTCCACTTCGTTTGGCATGACCAAACCACCTCAGACAATGTTGCCGGCATTCGTCCTTTATATCATCTAAACCAGAACGACGCAGGATTTCGGTTGATTTGATGTGGTCCTTCAGACTAATTCGTTGCATCCATCGGAGCATTTTCATATCAGTTCGGTGAAGTTGTTGTTCCAGTTTGGTTGTCATTGGCCACGTTTCTGCACCATATAACATCACCGGACGAAATCACAGATTTATAAATTCTTGATCGTAGTGGTAGTGAGATGTCACGCCGCATCAATGTAGAGGCAAGGAGATGCCATTTATTCCAGACTGTATGCATGCTCGAACGGCAGCTTCAGCTGTTCCAGTACAATCCAGAACGAAACGATGTGACTTTCTCTACCTTAATGGCTTCAAAAACATTGCTATTTTGAATTTGTTGTTGTGGATTGATGCAAGCAGGACAAATAAAATTGGACACTAGATAAATAACCAATTATTTTTGAACAACGTTTGTGACACCACTGGTTACACTGCTGACACTTGATTGAATTGTTACCTACACCAGCTTTACAAACTGAACAGGGTCATCGTCCAGTAGCTGTGGATTGGATGGGTTCACCAGTGTTCATTGCTTTGGTTTTGCTAATGTTGACTTTTCAGCAAACTCAAAAATACGGTTGCCATCTTCATTCAGTTCTCCATAGCCAAAACCGCCATGTACGTTGTCAAAACCATCTGTTTTCTCTCCAACGTGGCCATTGAGCTCGCCTCCAATCAGGATTGTTTCAGATTTTGGTATTGTTGAGATGGTGTCAGAGAACGCAGCCCATGAAGTCATTTTTCATCTCTTCTGATTCTTCTGTCTGTGGTGCGTATGCAAAAAAAATAGTCATTGTTTGCTTTTCTCATGTGAATCAAGATTCACATGAGACGTAAGTTAATCCTTTTAATATCCAGTGTTTTTTGGGACAAAAATTCCAACATCATTTTGGCCGTTTTTTGACCATTCCAGAATGGTTTATAATTTTCTTTGTCTGAATTGATATGACAGACACCATTCGATTTCCATCGGGGTTCTTCTGAAGGCAGCAGGTGTCAATCCTTCTACGCTCGAGCATTTCTGCGATTTCCATGCTGCGGCCAGTCAGTAATCCAACATTGAGCGTTCCAAGTCTAAGTACTATAGAGGGGCCATTCTGAATTTTTCTGCAACATCCCTCCACTTGTGAATACTTTCCAGGGATTCTTGTCACCCCTTGACCACTTAAGGCCTGTTAGGGACTAGAGGCCGTTGTTTTTGTTTGTGATGGCACGGAATAAATTTTGGGAAAATTTTTTACATCCGAACACCCATCCTGACCACAACCACCTGTTATAAGCGGTGGGCCTAGTCTTTTGCTCAAAATCACGCAAGGCAGCGTGGATGCAGTATTATGTCATGCCCAGGACTTCAACATAACCTACCGGTAAGTGAATTTGACAAGAAGTAAAATCATAATCTGCAAGAGATTACAATTAGTTTTTGTTGGATTAAATTTTTGAAGGAGCACACTTGGCAAAAAAATTGTTTCTTTTATTTGGAAAATAATTTGAGGCTTCCGCTCCTTCGTTACTAAATCAATGATAAAAGCAGGAGGATGTTGTTTGGGTGAATTGAATACAATATTAGCTGAGAGAGAGATATCATTTCAAATAGAAATAATGTAAGGGTTGAGCGAGCCTGTAAAAAAGAAGAGATTGAATGGACTGAGTAAAATGAAAACAGGTGAATTTTCAACGTTATTTAAAGTGTTGAAAGCAGCAGGTAATTGATAAGATATAAACTAACTTAGTAGAAGTAGTGGAAAAACAAATTCAAAAAGACTGGAAAAAGAGTTTGATATTTCCTATCTATGAAGGTAAAAAAGATTTTTTAGTCTGAGGCAAATATTCTTTGAAAAAAGAATTTTTGTTATTTTATGAAAAAATAGTTTTCCAACTTGATCAGTTTTTAAAAAGTTCATGCTTGACCATTTATTATTTTTATAAAATTTTTCTGGTATATAATAATATATCTCATCAATCAAAATCAGAGAAAAATAAAAATACAATTAAGCTGATGCGCAAAAAAATAAAAGTCCTGCTTTGTAAAAAAAATGAACAATTGGATTAGACTGGCGAATTTGGTTTTTAATAGCTGAAACTACTACATATGCTAATTTAATATCGGTAGAGTTTTTCATGGTATGATGCAAATTTATTATAAAATAATAACATAAATATTTTAATACAAGAGATTTTAGCTCTTTTTGGAGTAATATTGAAGAAACTTTGATTAATTGATTTCACCTACACTACAGTCCTACATTTTTATGTTATTTTTTCAAACCGCTCAATAAATTTCAAAATTTTTAAAGATTGTTTAACCATTGTGAGATTGCAGATTAATTTCGATTTCGAGATTAATTTCGATGATTAAAGCATTTTTAATACTGCATATTAATGTTAATTTAACATTTTGAGGTTTATTTTTTGTAGTTTAAACTTTTTATATTTTTGCTGCAACTTTTAATAAAAATTTATGGCTGATACTTATGAAATAACCCAGCATTTAAATTATTAATCATCATTATTTTGGTTGATTTGTTCAAGGCTTATTAAAGTTATTAAATTATTAATCATCATTATTTTGGTTGATTTGTTCAAGGCTTTAGATCAGAAATGGATTATTCAAAAACTATGTGTATTATGGTCGTGTGTTTTACATACCATGTTAATGGTGGTGATCCAGTCGTTGATTATTTTTTGACTGAATATCGATCATATTGTGAAAAATATTTGAAACCTCCGGAGGATTATTTAAAAGAAAGTCCATTTCTTTGTCCTTGTATTCCAAATGGATTAAGTGAGATGGTTTTCATTAATTAGTCTAGAATTATAAAATATTTAATTAAACAGAAGGGAAAAATAATTTGGATGTTCAAGATGGAGGGGAAATTGGTGAATTAGAAAGAGAATTTTTTGATTATGGTCAAAGCGGCACATGGTATCCTTTGTCTTGTATCCCAAGACACAAAGTTGCAGTAATAATACCTTTTCGTAATAGAGAAAACCATTTAAAAGTTATTCTTAAAGTCCTGGTGCCAATGTTACGTAGACAACTATTGTTTTATACAATATTTGTTATCGAACAAGTAATTATTTTTTAAAATTTGTTGAATTGCTTTTTAAATTGAGGCTTGACATGTGTTACCTACAGGATTCACCTCTTATTTTTAATAAAGCTTCATTGATGAATGCCGGCTTTAAGGAAGCATCAATGTTTCAAAACTATGACTGCTACATATTTCATGACGTTGATATGCTCCCCGAAAATGATAGAAATTTTTATACTTGTTCACATGTTCCTCGTCATCTAGGAGCATTTGTGGATAAATGGGATTATATGTTGGTAATTCTCTGATTTTATTAATCTAGCACTAAGTAAATTAACGACATATATGTATATGTATGGTTTTAATTCAGTGCTTAAAAAATGTCAAATGAGGAATGATTGCAAAAAAAAATTACAAAAATAATTACAAAAAAAATTAATCTGTGTTGGGCCCGCTCAGTTACAACGTAAAACTGGCTGTGTGTCGGGCTTCGGTTTCATATAAATAAAAACAATTTTACAAATTTTTAACATTCGATTTTTTAATTCATTAATAACACTTGAAATAAAAATTGTTCAGGCTGTTGATTCAAGAATATTTCGAAAATTTTCAGTATTTATTTTTAAATGTAATATTTCTTAAAAATTAGTTATAGTTCTATGTTTTAGTCATGCTCATGGTTCATTCACAGTTTGATTGTGGTCATATGACGATCATACGTTGTTTTTGCATGACATTTTTAATTTATAGACAATTTTTTTGTCAATTATTTGTTATTTTATTAGATCTTGTTGTTTTTAAGTAGCATGTGTTACGTTTTCAACGTTAACAGTCCAGTTATAAATCTAACCTTACAAATAAATGGTATAAGTACAAAAAAACCAGGAAAAATTGCCCTCGGGGCGAAAAACTTTCTTAACAAAAACCTTGTAGATAACCCGCTACAAAATACCTTTCGACAAAAACCTCCAAATAATATTTAATGTAACTTATATTTTTTATATTTATTTTACTCCTACCTAATGTAACTAATATCTTTTAAATCATAATTCTTATTTTCTTTGTTTCATTCCTAGCATGTTGTAACATTCTCTGCGTTTGATAGAGCTTTACAGAATTAAATAAATTTAAATCCCTAACAGAATTTGGACGAAATTGGATTTTATATAAAACCGTTATGTGTGTCCGCAACCGTCGATGAATATAAATATTTCTCGGATGAGTATCAGAAAAACGCTGATTTCAAATATCATTTAAGGGCATATGTCCAGAATATAAATTACGGTCAACTGTGATCGTTATGATTTTGTTAATTTCTTTTTGCGTTAAAGCTCTGATCTTTATTAATTGAAAATCGAATGCAATTGTTGCCATAATTGAAGATTTTTTTTAAACTGCAAATAATTGTTAATTTGTAACATGGGCAAGTGGTTTTTTTGAGTCAACGCTCATTTTTTTGTTTTGTGTTATATTATGTTAATATTATGTTATGTTATGTTACTTACAATGAGATGCAAATAAACGAAATCATTAAATGTTAGAGTGGTAACATCTACAGGCATATCTTCTATTTTTATACATTATTATTTGTATTCACTGAGAATTTCAGTTTAATTTTTCGTTTGAATTTTCAAGAATACCGTATATTGATTTGTTTGGTGGAGTTACAGCCTTCAGCTACAATCATTTCTTGTCAGTCAACGGTTTTGCTAATTCATTTTATGGCTGGGGAGGTGAGGATGACGACATGTACAAAAGGCTATTACTTCAATTTCTTAATCTATACAATAATAAATTATGATCGTACTGTTGTATCCGCTCAGAATTTTCAGTATTTAGTTTAATTTATTTATTTTTAGTTTATTATACTATTTTTTATGATGCTGCTCTGTGTTTGACAGAGTTGCTTAAATGATGTTTTCTAACTTAATGTTGCTAATGCACGGTTATTTAAATTTGCTAGTTTTTAAGCGAAACAAATTTTTGCATGCAAGTTATTGCTTTCTGTTGCGTTATTTGCAAACAGCAGCCTTCTTTTTTAGTTAGAATATGTTTTCCAAGACTTTCCTTTAGGTTCATGGTCAATCCATATACCATTAATTTGTTTTAATAAATCTAAACACTCTATTACTATTCCTCCTATTATCTTACCTGATTCTAAAACTCTTGATGTCTCTCATAAGTTTTGTAGTCTAGGTTTTATCTTTGATTCTACTATGTCTCTCTCTTCTCAGATTAATAGTGTTGCTAGAAGCTTTTACTTTCAACTTTTGCCTTTTCTTGATGATCCTACTCTTCTCCTTCTTGTTACTTCGTTAGTCTTATCTAGGGTTGATTATTGTAACTCGCTCTACTATGGTCTTCCTGACTCTATACTCTATCCTTTAAGTAAAGCTTTTAACTCTGCTGCTCGTCTAGTTGCTCGTGTCCCTTTCTTTTCTCATATATCTCCATATCTTGTTCTCTTGCACTGGCTACCTATAAAATATAGAATAATTTTTAAAATTTACACGTTCATGTATAAGTCTCAATCTAAATTATTTCCTAAGTATTTATCAGATATATTAATTGAACCTAAACGCCCCGGTTTACGATCGTCTTGTTCTCGCTTTTTCTTAACTCGTGTTAAACACTCTTTTGCCAAATCCGCTTTTGCTTTTTCTGGTCCTTTTCTCTGGAACTCTCCACCTACTTCTCTGACTATTTCTCCATCACTTGCGAAGTTCAGAACGGATCTCAAGACCCATCTGTTTTCAAAATTCATTGAGGAGCGCTGTTGAACATCGCGGAAATCGCTCTTTATAAGCTAATTGATTGATCGATTGATTGATTGATTGATTGATTGATTGATTTGATTGATTTGATTGATTTGATTGATTGATTGATTGATTGATTGATTGATTGATTGATTGATTGATTGATTGATTGATTGATTGATTGATTGATTGATTGATTGATTGATTGATTGATTGATTGATTGATTGATTAATTGTTGTTTCTCTGTTGCTTTTTCGTATAACATAACATAACTAGGTTTAAAGTGGTTTTATAGATTAGAGTTTGTGTGAGAACCGAACCACTGCGAGATAAGTGTCCTAATATCCTAACTTTTTGAGCTTGATCTTGAAACTGTTGATTGATTTCGTCTCATCATCACTCAGATCATTCCAGTTGTTTACCACTCTGCTTCTGAAGAGTCTTTGCCTGACGACACTTTCTGTTATTTTGGAGAGCTTGTATCTGAGGCCTCGTTATCCTATTCTATTTTCCAGTCGAAAAAATCTGGTAAACGGTGTTTCTTCTTTCTTGGTAATCAATTTTTATGCCTGCATCTTCTTGTTTACATACAGTGTTGTTAATCTATCCATCTTTGTATCCAAGATTTTTAAGTCCTCTGATCATCTTTGTTGCTCTCCCCTGTACTTTTTCCAAAATGTCCTTGTCCTTTTGCAGATCTGGACTCCAAACTTGAGCATAGAATTCAAGAGGGGGTCGAACTAAAGTTTTGTACAGATTTAGAATGATCGACTTCTCCCTACTGACCACTGTTTTTTTTTAATAAATCCTGCATAATACGTTTTTATAATATTTGTCCCGTTTTTTGTTCAACTACGAGGTTTTTATCATCGTTTCATCAACCGGTCAACCTTTACCTAACCTTTTCTTATTTTAATTCATTGTTTTGCTTAATGATACATTTTTCATTTTTTTACCACTGAATTCAAACTCACCATTATCTTTTTCGTTTTAGGGTATTTGGTCGTACACAAAATCTTTTTTGTTCCTGTCTTAGCAGATAATAATAATGTTTTTTATAGCGGTTTATTAAACAGATTGTCGTACATTCTTTGCTTACATGCTTTTTAAAATATTATTCTTTTAAATTGAAACAAAGAGCTTTAGATTATTTCATATCTTCATTTCTCTATATTATTCAATTGAGCAAGCGCCACGATGTCTTCCTTTATCAACACGAACAGAAATAAATAGGTCGATTACCGACATGCAGAAACAAAGAATAGTTGAACCCTCTGTGAGCCCTTAAACTTTGCTAGCAGTGGCGGATTAACACACAGGCACAACAGGCCGGCGGAAAATTTTGGGGGGCGGCAAATTTTGAAAACTAGTTATTTAAAAATGTTCCAGTTGAATAAAAATAATTATTGAAATTGATACTCTACTCAAAAATTATGGTGTTCAAGTTTATATAATTTAAAACTTTAAAAATCGATTAGCAGTTGCCGTTCTTTCTGATCATATATTTAAAATACATGTATCGGAACATATAGCCGATAATGTTATGCAAAAAAATCGTACTTTTATCACTGGAACAATAATTATGACGAATGACTACAAGTGGCGCTAAATTGTAACAATATGTACGAATACCGTTTTTTTTTATGGTCGCGTTTTTCACAATAATTGTGTACACAGCTACAAAAATTTGAACGTAGTTAATTATGTTAACTGTTCACTAATAATGACACAACAAACTCAAACAAAACGGCGACAATGAAAAGCGTAAAACTAAATAATTTCTAGCGATCAAATAAAAATTACTTTATTAGTGCCTGTTATTTTACAAAAGTTTTTGTTAATGAGTTTGATGAGCTTGTATTATGATTTATTTGATTACTAAACGTTAATGTGGGCGATAATATTTTCTTTCCAATGTATGTAATTTTAATTATGTGGATGTGGTTCGATCATTGAATTAGATAGACCCTTTTTTAAATTCACCATCTTGTCTTGTCGTGTTAAGGCCATATTTGTAGTTTCATAAAAAGAGCTAAAATGAGCGATGGTAGAAAAAGATTAAGTGGGAGTCAATATGCAAAATTGCGAAAAGACAAAAAATTGAAAAACAATACGGACTTGTATAGAACGAAGAAAATCAACAATTTTTTTCAGTTGGCGGTCAGTGGAAGTGGAGATCAATTGGAAGAACGAAATGATACTGAAGATAAGTTAGTCGATGCGTTTTTCATTAGTGCGAGACATTTCTTTGAAAATATTGTTTTTAAAAATTGATTTGGCTAAAATTTCGCATACTAATAATATTGCTGTCTATCTATAGGTCCAGTTTAGCATGTATGAAAGAGAGATCATTCGCGGTTGAAGAATCTAAGACTGAGACAAATGATAAATCAAATGTCTCAGATGATGATGGGTTTGTTTGTCTTTTTTAAAAATCTAAATAAGAAATAATGAAACATTTTGATTAAATTACTTCACCTGAATAAATATCTTTCTTGTACAGCACCACCATGGAGATATTAACAAAATTGTCTGATGAATGTCTCTCAGAAAATGTGGAGCAAAATTATCTGATGAGTCTGCTTTATGGCAAGTAAATAATGAGACGCGCGATTTGGTGGCCAAATATGGCTTCAAGCGAAATGAAAATATGGACTTTAGTAAATCCAAAAAGGAGTACAGTGATGGCAAAATAATCAGCCTCACACAAAGTATGTTTGACTATACTCTTATTAACGGAGAAAAAATGTCGCGAGAATGGCTTGTTTATTCAGAAAACACTGGAGCTGTATTTTGTGGAATTTGTGTTTTGTTTTTAAAGAAATCGAATGTACAAACAAGATTAACATCAGAAGGTTTTAATGATTGGAAGAATGCTTATAATGCGCTGAAAGAACATGAAAATTCATTATCTCATAGAGACTGCGTACATGCCTGCAAAACGAGAGGTCGTGCTATAGGTCAAATAAACTCGCAGTTAAATGATCAATTGGAAACTGAGATAAATTACTGGAAATCGACTCATGTTCGCGTGATAGAAGTTGTAAAGACATTGGTTTCAAGAAGACTACCTTTGCGTGGACACGTTGAAAAATTTGGAAATTCTGAAAGTGGGAACTGCATGATGCTGCTTGAACTTATTGCTAAATTTGATTCTTTTATGGCGCATCATATAGAAAGATTTGGCAAATGTGGCAAAGGTAATACATCTTATCTGTCATCAACAACTGTAGAAGAGTTAGTAGCAATATTGGCAAATGTTGTACAAGACGAACTCGTCTGCCAAATCAAAATAAGCAAATATTTTTCAATAATTGTTGATTCAACGCCTGACATAGCAAAAGTTGTTCAACTTTCCGTTGTTATCAGATATGTTCAAAAAAGCGGAACGCCTTAGGAAGCGTTTTTAGCGTTTCTACCAAACACTGGCCACAAATCGCAAGAACTATTTAACGCTGTAATTTGTTTTTTACAATCACACAACCTGGATCTTCAAAACTGTCGCGGACAATCTTACGACAACGCTTCAAACATGGCTGGCAAGTATTCAGGACTTCAGGCGCGAACCAAGGAAGTCAATGATCAAGTTGCATTTATACCATGCTCAGCTCACTCACTTAACCTTGTTGGCACAAATGCAGCTGAATCTTGTGCAGAAGCTTGCAATTTTTTTTGGTTGATCCAACATGTTTACAACTTTTTCAGTGCTTCTACTGCCAGGTGGGAAGTTCTCCAAAACCACACACAGCAGAAATCTAGTTCACTTAATTTGAAAAGTCTCTCCACTGCCCGGTAGTCTGCTCGCGACGACGCAGTTCAAGCATTGAAATATGGATGGAATCAGGTTATTGAATCACTAGAATTTTTAGAAAAGGATTCAAACCAGAAACTCGTGCTGAGGCTAGAGGAATTATTTCTAATTTGAGTTTTCTTGAAACCGGAATTATGGTAGAATTGTGGGGTTTTGTTTTAGAATGTCTGAACAAGTCTAACGTCAAACTTCAAAAAGTAGACATTGATTTATCGACTGTAATCAAAATTTACGACTCACTTTTAACGTTGTTCGAATCACTCAGAGAAAGATTAGAAGATTATGAAAAAAAAAAGAAAAGTCCTGTCTTTAGTTGATGACTCCATTAAGAAAACGGAAGCGGCATCAAAAAAAAAACGGAATCAGTTGACAATGAAACAGAATTTACCACTCGAGAAAATTTTCGTGTAAACATATTTTTAGTAATTGTGGATAACTTTAATTCTGAAATGAACAAGAGACGAAACGCTTATGTAAAAATTAATGAAAATTTCTAAGCAATTGTACAGTTCAAAACATTGTCAATGGGTGAGTTAGAGATTGCAGCGGATGGATTAAGATCTTTATTTCTAAACGATCTAGACGACACCTTAAATACTGAACTGTTGCATTTAAAGTCTCATTTGGCTACCTTAGACCAAAATGCAGTTCCACACACTCCAATTGATTTGTGTAAATGGATAAGATTGAATGACTTGCAGTGTGTATATCCAAATGTAGACATTGCACTTCGGATGTACACTTGTACTCCTGCTACAAACTGTTAGGCCGAACGATCTTTTTCTTGTTTAAAGCGCGTTGAAAACTATTTGCGTCCGACAATGTCCGAAGAAAGGTTAAATTATCTTGCAATTCTATGCATCGAAAAAACAATTTTGCAAGATTTAGACATTAATTTCGTTATTGATGAATTTGCGCGCATGAAGGCACGTCGTAAAGTTTTGAAATAACTTTTATAAACTGCAATGAAAGAAAATTTATTTTTTAAAATTGATAATATTACATTACGTGAATATTTTTAAAGAATGTACTTAATAAAAATGTTTTAAAAATATTGCTTTCATATGAATTTAATTATAAAATTGGGGCGGCAAACCACAAGTGCCTCTAGGCGGCAAAAAGGTTAATCCGCCACTGTTTGCTAGTTGTGCTGGTAAGGATAAAAAAGACGGCAGCAGCCAGTTTTGTGTGCACTGCAGGAAGTTAAGCAAAATCACCAGAAAAGATAGCTATCCAATTGCCAAGAATTGATGACATTATGAACACGTTATCAGTATCGTGCTGCTTTTCTACACTCGACTTAAAAAGTGGCTTTTCGCAGGTGAATATCGATGTGGCAATTTACAGTAATGCCTTTTAGATCATTGATCAGCACCTCGCAAATTTGCAGGAAATTTTCACCAGACTCCGAACGCACGTCTTTAATGCTTTGACATTAATTAATTTGCATGCTGGAATATGGACGGGCAACATCATTAGCAAGCATATTGCTATAGCTTTAACGATCGTCTCTACAGGCACCAGTGTTGTAACTTCAAAAGATCTTCAAACGCAAACTTGTTTAAACGTTTATTCCAATACCCATAGTAATAGAAACACTAAACTATTTAACTATCTAAGGAATACGGACGATCACCAATAATTTAGATCGTAACTACATAAATCACAATCTCGCTTCTAACACACCAACCATTTTTTTACAACACAATCGGTATATTTCTTTTAAAATTTTTCGTTTTTTTTTATCTAAATTTTTATCAAACCTTAAATAAACGACTTATTTGATTTTTGATAAAATTTTATCTAATTGCAGGATTATGTTTAGAAAACTGAACGTAACGAGATATCCTATTGCAATTGCAAAATATACAATGATAAAACATGTATCTGATGATGGCAATCCTAATAATATAAAAAGGTGGTATTATCTCTGAGACTGATTTATAATATGCCTATTAATTATTAAAATTGTTGTTAGGTTTACAGTCTATGAATGTTTTGGCTGCTTCGGTTTGGAACTCAAGAGTGTGAGCATTCATTCCTGCAGCCTGGTCACTATCAGGAAGTGATCAGTAAGAATGAATGAGTTTTTTATTAAGAAATATCTATACAACGTGGATCAAAAATTGAAGTCTGAGACTGATTTATAATAGGCCTATTAATTTTTAAAATGCATTTGTGTGCGTGTGTGTGTGTTAGCTTGTTTATATCGCCCTTTTTTAAAACCTAAAGGCGCAGACATGTTGCCGAAAGCTTAAAGTACATCAATATTTTTGATGAATCGCTCATCAAATTTGATCGACATCCTGTCCACTGTTGCAAAGAACATGCCAACATTAATACGTGGGCAGATGTTTCTATCCTATCGATGAGAACACAAGAAATGTATTCAATTCTGAATTTCTAGATGCAAAATTAGTGAAAAATTATCTTTATGAGGTGGTGCACATTTTTTATCACATGCTTTGTCGGTCTGTTCAACTATTTTTTTCTATGACTGTTCAGAAAGATGTTTTCTCAAAGCGGTTTTGCAGGCCTGTATTAGACCACTTGCTTCCACATAGTCAATGATGCTATTATGTAGTTCTAGCGAAAGAACTGTTGACAGAATTGTATCCATGCTGATCAAAGTGGCGGAGAATTTCCAGCGTCGAATATTTACAAGCAAACCTCTAGTTTCTGCAGCTGCTACATTATCATTCTTATTTTCAGCAGTGATATGTTTGTATTATGGCTTGTGAGCGACTTTGACTTTGTGCACTGAACAGTATCAGTAAGATCATCGAGTATCAGGGAAATGCTCTAGCTCATGAACTTGTACGTTTTGATTATGTTGCATCTGCGTGAATAGTTTATTGCCTTGGAATATAACGCGCAGATGCTTGACTTGCAAACATGCCTTAACATCGCTGATGCTTCTAACAGTATGTACTGAAGCGTTTTAAAATTCGCTCACTAAACGACTATGATTCCCCGCCTCCCTCAAATGATGCTTCTGAGATTTGTTATTTTTGCCAAACTTTTTTATTATAATTATTAAATGCTTGAATATTTTCTCTTACATTTATTTTAAATATTTTCACAGCCATCAAGCTTTCATTTTCCGGCCAAAATTATACAAAAATGATGGTTTAAATACTTTGCAATACAAAATTGAAAAGATGGAAGTACGTCCTTTGTACATTTGGTTCCTTATGTCGTTGCCTCCTCAGCCTCGTTATTTGACAAAACAAACCAAAACAACAACAAAAAATACTTGAACACTCAATGACAAACTGTACGTTTGAAATTAATTGAAAGGTGCAATGCTTCGATAATGAAAATATAAAGTGGAAAATAATAAAACTTACCAGGCTACAACGCGACAATTAAATTTGGTTGAGTTTTTTTTTTTTAAATAAATTGATATTTTTCATGTGCGTGGTTTTTTAATGCAAACAAAAGTGGTAATCGTTCCAATCAATTGAAGCCGTAATTGTTTCTATCGGATATGTCGACGATGTTATGAGGCTCGTATTAATGATGAAACAACTGCTAACAACAATCAACTATTCATAACTGAAATTTACATTAAACATTCTATAGACAACAAATTATTCTTTTCCGGTGCTCTTGCGCCAACGATAGCTTCAAAATCAGTTTACACAAAAGCAAGCAACAAGAATTACGTTTGAATAACGAGGATGAGTACAGTATTGCATATTTTAAACGCACGATTTCTAGGCGTGGGCGTTGCCGGACCAATGTAATGAAAAATACAGGCAATAAAATTTGTTGTGCTGAACCGAGCCCGTTTGGGCTTCTTTAATCGTTCCAATCAATTGAAGCCGTAATAAATATACACCAAAACTGCGCACAATATTCCAGATCTGGTTTCACCCATTGTTTTTATACTGAATGATAAGTTGCAGGATAATTTTAAGATGAAAAAAAAAAATTGTTTTGCCTATTTTTCATTTTTTTTTTCAAAATGTTTTTTGATATGTTAAGCTATAAAATACTATAAAATAAATGCAAAACCATATAAAGATTGAAATTTTTTTCGTTGTTAAAAATGACGCCAAACAAAATGGGTTTTTATATTTTTTGACATTTCGAACATCGATAGCTAAAAAAATTGATAATAGATTTCGACAAAATTTCGTTTATCGATTAAGACTATAAAGTAATTTAAATGTTATGTATAGTAAAACAATCTACGATAGACATTTATCTGTGACACTAGATCTAACTTTGTTTGAAGCTCGCTTTAACAAACTGCCTCAAATTCGAACAATAATTGACACATGAATCATTTTTAACACATTTATCTATGTTTGTATTGTGAAAAATTAATTTCTTAGCATTTATTCATATTCGTTGATATCATTATAAATTACGCTAGAATGTAGCCTACGTAAGTTGTCGCATGTTGGCCGGCGAGATGGCTCGGTGGTTCAAATGCTCGCTGAGTCAAACATCTCAATGGCTATCATATACTCAGCGTATATGAGATGCACATAAAATACATGTGTACGTCGTGTGAAATGGATAAACAGCCTTTGTGGCGAAGATGGCTGCTTCAAATCAATGGATGAAGATATGAAGAACATAATAAAGGATACATAGATAATATATCTGTAACATTGTACGTGGGTATGCGTATGTCAGAGCTGCAATAATAAAAACAACATACGTTTAGACGACATTTTCCCCGAGATCGGAGGTTGCCGTTTGGCTACCTATGATGAAACTGAAATACCCCTCGACGCCATTCACATCTGCAATAATAGAGACTAAAACGAAATACAGCAGTTATTAAACGGACACCAGCTTAGAGAAATTAAACTAATTTTCACCAAGTTTAATATTAATAACGGAGATAACACACAAAAAATATACAAATTTCAATAAAAACCACGTGCTCAATTTAATTCATCTTGAATAGGATTATGTGGTTAGCAGATCAGATATAATCCAGTGTTTGAAGTGGGTAGGGCAATTTTGATAACGATTGATGGCTTCTCTTAGTTGCGTTGGATGGACAGTGGTTTTCATAAGTTGATATTCTCTTCTCAACTTTTGGTTTAACCCATTGACAGGAATTAATAATTCTAGTGAGCAGATGTTCTCGAATGCCTGAAATGTAAATTTTTCGTAAAGTAGATGCACCACATAATTTTCAAGAGTTGATCAATATTACTAAGTGAAACGGTTAATGGTAGAAATATGTATATGGAAAAAATAAATGTCAGTAGATGTTAAACATTGATTTTGGCGGCAAATCAAAATTTCTGGTTTTTTTTTAATATCAAAACTAACACTGAAACTATTGCTCCACAATTTTATTTAAATACCATTACTAAATAAAAAATACTCCAAAAAACATTTGCAACTTTTATAGGTATATTTACGTTTTAAAATTCACTGAAAAAGAATATTTTTGGCATTATTGTACTGTACGAAGTTTTTTTGTTTGTTGCGTCACAGACGCTTACTCCCTGGCTGTACTAAAAAGAGAAACATTCCTACATCTATTATGAGTGATTGAATGAAGTATAATATCTTGAGTATTTTATTTTAATCTAGTCTGTATCGTGATTATAACAGTTAAGGAAAAGATAAAAGAACATTAAATATTTCGATAAACTTTGGAAAATTATTCCATAATAATTGCAGGTTTTCAGAAATGCAGGGAATTTTTAAAGCCATGTGCGCATAAATCAACTAAAATTTTGAATATAAATTTTTTGTACATCTACATAAGAATTGATTGAAAATTTGAACACAATTTCCAATAGTAAATTATGAGACCATCATTCTCTTTTATTTAACACTTAAATACGGCAGGTAATGTAATAATGTAGCAAATAAGTAATATTTTAAAAATATTTACAGTAATAATTCGGAGGAAATTTAATGCATAAATAATTTTTTCGCTAAGACAGTCAGCAACACAATGCGCATACTAAGAGGTGCACAACTATTTAAAAACGAGAATGGTTAGCCAATATTACATAAATAAAGATTTGCTTCAAAGTCATCTCTTAAAATATATTCGACTCCGACAACCAGCTTATATTTCGTGCCTTTTATAACCTTAAAAATCAGATCCGTAATGTAATTGTTTGGCTTCTTATGACTTTGTTTTTGCTTACTGTTTCCAACTGATTTCCGATAATTTTCTGTAGCACTTTATTGAAAATGCTTTCAATCTGTCGTCTCTATTTTTATCATCTAAGTTTCTGCTTTTACCGCCAAATTTTACAGAAACTCATTCGGTCTTTTGGACAGACAAAGAAAACAAATGAACATGAAACAAAATTAAGTAGAATTTTGATGAAATATTAAGAAAAAATATTTATAAGAGATTACCTTAAACGCCGTTGCTTTGTCGTGAGTGAAGTTGAGATTTTTTTTGCTGCATATATTTTTAAATTCTGTATCAAAGTCAATGTGTTATATATTAATTTTCAGTTTTTATTGGAGCTATAAAACAAATAAAATGTAGATAATAACTATTTGGAAAGATTACAGAAATGATTGAAAGTTGAAGATGGCAGTAAATTTAAAGTTTTAGAAAGAAAAAAAATATGAAGGACGGCATGTAGCAACTTCACGATGCGGTGTCCAACTTCAAATGCATTCAATCAATCAACAAGCCATGCGTTCAAGGGCATTTATAAACTCGTATGTATGTATGTATATATATCTGTGTGTGTGTATATATATATATATATATATATATATATATATATATATATATATGTGTGTGTGTGTGTGTGTGTGTGTGTGTGTGTGTGTTAATGAATTTTTGAAGTAAGGTTGAAGGTTGTCAAATTACTTTTAAAGTGAGCATGTCATTGCTAAGAATATTATATGGCCGGATAAATTTCTGCATTTCTGCACAAAATAGGTATGAAATTACCCTGATAAATCATTTCAAAGTTGAACGGTTCCCATGATGATGAGTTAGATAATTGCCCTGCCAAAATGACTAATATCAACTCTAAAGTAGAAAGACCTGGAAATTATGAATTATAGTTATTGCCATTGATAAAAAGCCAACAAAAAATTTAAAATAGTGTCTCCGTGCTTCATGCTTTCACTTATAAATTCTCAGAAAAAGTTTACAGAAATTTTTTAATTCCTGAAACTGATTTAAATTTAATTTTTAATTTGGTTAGATAAATGAAAAGGTAAACGACGATAGCTCCTTTATTCATAACAAACATGGCGCACAACGAGGCTTAATTAAATTGCATGTGGAAATATAATTTATATAAAAATATTTTTATTAGAGTAAAGTAGGTAGTCGTTTTTTCCTTAGACTGTTTATTGTTTAACCTTGCATTAATAATAATAATAATAATAACAACAGCAAAATTACCATTTTAAATATATTTAAAATCAGCTTGGGCATTGAATAACATAATTTAAGCTGAGAAATTTCAAAGAAGTTGAGTAACGTTACCTCATACCTTGTATTATTGGACATTTGGAATCACTAGCATTGCAAAGCTTGAATGAAAACACTAGATCCTTCGCTTCTAATTTCTTTCTGCAGCTAGTCAGTTTTGATACTGGATACAACTTGATTTTGGTAAGTTTCAATAAATTTTTTAAAAAATTTTAAAAGACTTGTTGTTACATAAAACAAAAAACTAATCTTCACCAGCAATAACTGCAATGATCTGTAATTTGAATCAATCTCGAACTGTTTTTTTAAAACCTCCACAACCAAAGGCTCGGACAAAAATTCCTTTGAAATGTATCATTAACAATTATTTAATTGTGTTTTGCTTGCATTTAATATAACATCATATTCGTGATATATCCACACCCCATCATCATGAACAGCATTCATTCACCAGCCAGCCCCTACACAAAGCGGGATCCTACTGAAGTCAAGCATGGATTAATGAATGATTGATGTTTTATGTTAAGGTGATGGCGGCGCGTTTTCTCAGGGGTTTTATAATTTGGATGGTTTCTTGATTTTTTACTTCTTGATTTTTTAACAAGTGAACTTTTTTCTTTTTTGCTATAATTATCTTTTTTTATATCCTTTTCTAAACCTTGTTAATATTATTACGTCTTACTCTAGAGACTTTCTACTAAGCATCTCTAATGCTTCTTTGTCTCCGGCGAGAGTAGTTTGGCGGCAGATGTTTTACTTTAATCTTAGGTCTATTAATAAGCACAATAAATCTAATTCTTCATTAAATAAAATTAATTCTTTAAGAACATCTAATTCTCATTCTTCTTCTCATAACTTTACCAAACTTACTACTGAATCTTTTTCAGTATTTAAATTTCTTTATTTATCAGCCTTTTTATACCATTACTTTATTTTATTTTCAATATTTTTCATGTTTAAACATTTTTTCACTGTTGTTTTTTTGTTCATTTATTTTTTCGTCACCATTTTATACTATTGCCTTGTATGCTGTAACAGTTTATGCGTCTGTCAGATTCTGATTTTTTAAAGAATAATAAAAAAAATCTTCTAAAACTTACAAATATTATTAATTTTATGTCATATGCAACTTGTTCTCTAGATATACTTCCTTCTAATTTACTTAAATCAAAATTCTAGTTTATGTTGACGCTGATTTTAACAGTCATTTTTATACAGATGCTACTGCCATTCTTATATTGAAAGTATGTGTATGTACTGCTGATGATATATAAGAAGTAAAAAAACTTTACCATACATCTAGATTAGTGTTCCACGTCGTAACATCGTCCCTGTTCTCCAACAAATCAGAAGGAAGGCTTAAATAATTTTTGCATATCTGTTTGTACTCCAGGAAAGAATACTCAAAAAATAATAAGACAATTCTTTGAGAAAAACGGGATTTTACTCGCTTTTCAAAAAGCTCCAAAACATCCTAAAAAATATATTCAAGATGAATTTAAACTGAAATTAATCAATGATTACTATTATAAACTAAAAACAGAAAAAATATAAATTATATAAATTTCTATTGACAAAAATGAAATTAAAACAGCAATTGTATTTCATAGTCGATTACTATCGAGTCAAAACACAAAACCATTTAAATGTTGTTTATAAAACATTACATTTAAAACTGAGATTGTTTAAACTTTAGAATTTGAAAACTTGAAAGATTTTGCAAAGTTACTTTGAAAAATGATGATCTTCTAATAATAACGTTAAAAAATAAACAAGCAACAAAAGCAGATTCTAACCTTTCTAGATGTCAATCCTATGATACCAAGAGGAATGTTGAATGACTGTATTAGATCCAATAAATTATAGAGAAGTATTTGATTTTTATGATGAAGAAACAAGTCAAACTCATCAATTATTAGAAATATATAATCCACGTTGTTCCCTGTATTCAATTTTTCAGAAACTGTTTAAAACAAATTCAGCGTTATTTTAAAGAATATCATTACTTACCTTCTAATGCAGAGCTTACCAACTGGTGCAAACTGTCACGCGAAAGTTGCTAAATGACAAAAACAAAATTAAAATTTTATTAACAAACAATAAGAACAATACAGGTGACGTGATAACAATGATAATTTTTATATAAGAAAATGTCTTAAGAGATGAAATGGTGATTTGCATGCAAACTTGATTAAAAGAGATGCTTCTTCCAACATGATCATTTATTTGTTCAACCAATTTCTGAAAGGCTAGAGTATCGTCAATGTGCAACAAACCTTAAAAGTGATGCATTAAAATATCAACACTAACAAATTTTATAAATAAATATTCTGCATGTCGAATAAAACTCAAAGGAAAAATGTACAAGGTTAACTTGCATGAAATTTTTTTAAAGTCTTAAAGTATTTTTTTTTTAAAGTCTAATATTATTTAATCTAGTTGAATAGAAAAATAAGAAAGAAACACCACGCCACATTACTAACCACTGCTGAGATACATGTAGAAATTTATAATTGCAAACAAAAAATATATATGCACCAAAAAGACAGCAGACTATGAAATCATGAAGAATTGACAATGAATGTAGAATTTGATCTACCGTTCAAGTAAATTTTCATAACTCTCTCAAAACTCTTCCGCTTGAAATCTTGGAGAAACTATAAAAAATGACAATTTCAAAAATCACATTAATGTAATCAAAAACTAAAATTAGAAAAAATGATTCAGAGAAAAAAACATGTGAGCAAACATTTTAAAAAATGGAGGAATGACATTTTATAAGAAATTAGTTACAAATGAAATAAAAACTTAGTGAGATACTAAAGTTAAATTTATAATGCAATTTCAAAAAGCCACAGCTTCTGGAAACACAATTAATGACATTAAACAGAATATTTTATTATCAATTCTTAAAAAAGTTATAATAAAGTTGGTAATAAAAAATTTAATTGTGAAAATGCAAAAAAGTATAGGAAGCCCATTTTATCAGAATATTTTGACAATGCTGAAAATCACATGTCGGAAATGGGCAAAAAAATATATTCTTAATTGTAAGAAAATCAGATCAAATATTTATCATTTATGGAAAAACTTTGAACTAATGCATGCCGATTTAAGACTGAAATGTTGGATTTAGTCTATCTGGTAGTCTTCTATAAGATGAGCACCAAATTTTACTTTTCATTTCGATCCTTTTAATTTAATAAGTTAAGTTGAAGATGACTAAAAAACAAGTAATTATTTAAAAACAACCAAACGATTCATGTTGTATTAAAAATTTTGCTATTAAAAATTTCATTTTAAAAGAACTTTCATAATGATGATGAAAAATTGAATACTAATGACAAACTTTCGTTTTTCCTGACCCTCTAGGACCAACAAGTAATATAGATGTGCTCTCCCTGCATGCCAAAGACCTTTCCAATGAATCGTAAAATTTTCTGCATAAAAAAAATCAGCTTTCAAAATATAACCGTACATGGGTTACTAATAAACACACAAAAAAAGGAACAATCATTGAAATAATAGAAATATCATCTTTATTGCCAATCAATTAATCAGTTGAGAACAGTCATGTCAATGTTTCAAAAATTTTAGCATTGCTTAGTTTATCTTAATTTAGAGTAGAAAAGCTCAAACATAAACTTTCAAAAGCTAAAAATTCGGTAGATTTTATCATATATTGCATCAATTATGGTCTCCTTCCAGCCTATTATATATATATATATATATATATATATATATATATATATATATATATATATATATATATATACGTGTGTGTGTTGGTAAAAGAACATAATTTTTACAATATTCCATAAATTCTACCGAATGTTTGGCGTTAATATGTTTGTAGTTCGTTTTTTCGATTTTTCTCATTAAAGTTTTTTGGTGAACGTTTAGTTTATTAAATCAAAA